AGTTCTCACTTAGGATGGTAAGGATTAAATGAAATAAAATATACAACATTCTTATCAGTCTTTTGCACATAGTAAGTGCTCAGACAACGCTGAGTATCATTGTCATTATTATTAATCATCTTCCGCATGGTCTCTGCCTCTTGCCTGGCCTCAGCTCCTCAGTTTTGCACTTGATCTTAGCAAAAAGGCTGAGAAGTGATTCAGCTCCTCAGTTTTGAAAGGAGAGTTAACAAACCTGCATCACTAGGCTGAAAAGGGGCAATCTTTGCCAAGTGCCCGGCAAAAAAGTCTGGGCCTGTTATTAGTTATTACCCCAGTGACCCATTACCTTGGTGGCCCGTAGGGACTCACTTCCTGTCACACCCTGTGTGCGCCTGTCTCACACCGCTCTGGGCCCTGCCTCACCAAGAGGATGCGTGGAAGGCCTGGGCCTGACAACCTGGTGTGCTGCGCTGGGTGGAACAGCTTGTGAGGGCTGACTGGTAAGTCTTGAGGAGTTTTATGAGCTGACTCACATCAAGTGGATTGCTTGAAATTAGTTTTGGAGCCGGGTACAGAGGTGCATGATTGTAGTCTCAGTACTCTGGGAGGCTGAGGCAGGAGAATCACAACTCTGAGCTCAGCCTAGTGAGAGTCTATATCAAAGTAAAAACAATTTTTTTCTTTTCTTTCTTTCTTTCTTTTTTTTTGGTACTGGGGATCGAACTCAGATCCTTATGCTTGCAAGGCAGGCAGCAGAACTACTGAGCTAAATCCCCAGCCCTCAAAGTAAAAATTTTTACAAGGGATGGGATGTACTCAGTGTGAAGGCTCTGAGTTCATTTTCCAGTACCATGGCAGAAAGAGAGGAAGGGAGGGAGGGAGGGAGGGAGAGAGGGAGAGAGAAAGAGAAGCTTTGGGACAAGAAATTACTCCATAGCCAGGCATGGTGGTGCATGCCTGTCATCCCAACTACTTGGAAGGCTGAGGCAGGAGACTCTCAAGTCAGAGGCCAATGTGGGCAACTTAGTGAGGTCCTATCTCAAAACATAAAAAGGGCTGGGGGTGTAGCTCAGTAGTAGAGAGCCCCTAGAATCAATTCCAAGTACTATAAAGAGAAAAAAAAAATATACCATAGAAACTGGCAAAACTAACAAATCAGGGCCCTTCCGTTCTGCCTTCGTTCTTTCTCAACCCCTGCATGGCCCACTGGTCACCACACCGCCCCTGTTAGGCGCTCCTGCTTTGACCCTGGTGAGCCCTGAGGAGTTCTGCTCCCTTCAGGGAGGACCACTGTGTGGAAAGCTGGATGGGCCGGGAGAGGCTTGGAAAGAAGGAAAACCAGGGGACTCAGACCCCAGCGAGGTGGGCCGTCCAGCCTTCAGTCCCACCCCTGCTGGGGCTCTCAACCTGGCTACAAAGAAGCCATGGACATTTTGGCCCCAGGAGTCTGCTAAGGGGCAGAGATCAGCTGTCCCTGCTTTAACCAGCTTGAATTCCCGACCCACAGAATTAGGACCGAATACAAGACCTGCTGTTTTAAACCATAAAGTTTTGGGGTGCTTTATAATGCAGCAGCAGACTGCTGAGCTGCCGCCTTCCCTGAAGCAGAGAACTAGGTGGCCCCTCTCCTCCATTATGTGATCTCCCCTCTCTCTGCATTGCCTGGGATCCCGGAAGCCCAGAGAAGAGGAGCCCCAAACTGGATATTGTCACTCCGGCGGGGCAGCCTCACCTGGCTCTGCACACCCCCCGCCTTGCAGGGGTCCTACACAGTGTTCCCTCCCAGCCCTCCCAGCCCCATAGAGCATGGGGTGCAGCAGAGAGGAACAGTCCCCTCCCTTCCCTGTTGACATTTGAAAAGGACTGAGCTAGGAGGCAGGTAAATGCTACCCCCACACCAGGGAAGAGGAAGGCAGGGTCCCCGGATTCTGATGGTTTGGTTTGGCGAGGATGCTGGGGTGCTGAGGGTCACCGTAGGGGGTTGGGGTGGTGGCCGGTGGGGTCTGCATCCTCTGGCGGGCGTGCTGGGGCTCCACACCTTCCAGGGCCCCCAAGCCCAGGTAGGTCCAGAGGTCCCAACCAGAGGTGTCACTGGCCGGTTAGTATTTCCAAACTCCCGGCAGATACTGACTTGGGAGAACTGGGGAAAGAAAAGCTGTGCTTTCTGAGAAGTCCTGAACATTTCTGAAGTCATACATTATTCTGAATTTTTCATAGCACTATTTTACATATTTTAAATAACAAGGAGTGACTGTGAATAATCAACAGTGAATTGTGTTTCTGTGATTGGGTTAAGTTTCAGAAGTCTTTTGTTTAATGAAACATATTCTATAAAATGAATGGATTATTGGTCATAAGAACTAATATATTTTGACAAGATTTATCTTAGCTCCCTACCTGACATAGACATCTGATAAGCAAAAACCTTGGGATAAGGGACTACTAGTAGGAAAATAATGCCAAATAAAAGTCATTTAAAAATCAAAAGCTAACACAAATATTTAATTTAAATTTTTGTGCATGGTGCTATACATTGACACGGGGGCCTTTACACTGAACTATATCCCCAGCGCTTTTTAATTTAAAAAAAAATTTTTTTTTTTAAGACAGGGTTTTGCTAGGTAATTAAGTAGCCCAGGATGGACTAGAATTTTCAGTCCTCCTGCTTCAGACTCCCAGAATGCAGGGATTACAGGTGTGCGGCATCACACCTGACTGAATTTTTGTTCTTAAAAATGACAAAATTTGCAACACAGAAAGCATACAATAATTAACGTGAGGGCCGGGGATTTAGCTCAGTGGTTCTGCTGCCTGCCTTGCTAGCACAAGTTCCCAAGTTAGACCCCTGGTACCAAAAAATAAAAAAAAATAAATGAACCTAATAGCACAGATATTTATTTTGCAATAAGTATTCCAGATCCAGAAAGCAAAAAACTTCCATGTTGACATTACTAGAATCATCAAACATGTGTCCAAAAACATTTGCAATTTGGGAATGAAAACATACAAGCTTTTTTCTTAATTAATGAAAGTGCCTTGCCTGTTTGCCCTCATTTTCTTTTTTGCCACTGAAATTAATACTGCTTTTGCTCATGCAGAATTTGGATCAGTTTCTGATTTTGGGTCTGAGAATTCTACTCTACTCTTATTTTTTTTCACTGCATTTCTTCCATACTGAATATTCAAGCGCTGGAAAATGCCAGTGACCGTGACTAGTTGGCATTTGAAGGATGTAACAGTCAGCTTTCCCTGCTAGATTAACAGTACTATGCAAATAAAAACTGCCAATTTAAGAACTTATTTTGCTTCCAAAATTTATTTCTTGAAATACTGCCTTACCTACAGGACTCATATAAATTATACGACATATAAAGCCATATTAATATTTATTTTACTTGTAAAACTGACTCACCAATGGTAGCAAGTAGGGCCACGAACGTACGTTGAGGTAGTGGCAGCCGTAGGTAAGACTGGTGAGATGATATCCTTCTTTGCCTATGAGCTCCTGTCCCCACCTTCCAGAAATGTTACTGTTGACCTTCAATTCTATGGAGCGGGGTTTCTGTCTCTTGCTTTCAGTTTGACGTTGGATAATTCAACCAAATCGGTAATATCTCTTTGTTGATTATAGAGTTTTAATTCTCACAGAAGAATTAGAATACCTTCCCCCCATTTTTTCTTTTTTTTCTAGATTTCCTGTGATTTCCAATTTGGGAAAAGATACTGCCTGGGAAATTCTGGGCATACACGGTTGCCTTGTGACAGTGAGTCTCTAGCGTGGCCTCAGGAGTGTGAGCGTCCTTCAAGGAGAATGAACTCTAACTCGCCTTCCGCTGGACAGCGTGGGGTGCTATTGCCAGGGTTGGGAAGGGCATTTAGAGAAAGAGCACCCAATGCCCCATCTCCTCTGCTCCCCAGAGACCTGTTTGTATCTCTCTCTGATCTTCATCTTCATGATCTCTGGGAAGTCGCACCCATGGTTTCGATTTCACTGCAGTGGAGAAGCCCAGACCCACTTCTCCAGTCCAGACCTCTCCCACCCTTTCACCTGAAGACCCAGCTGCGAGTCTTCTCCTCCAGATCGGCACAACTCCAGACTCTGCTAGTTTAGAAGCCTGAACTTCTGAGGTAGCAATGCTTCCGTCCGAAGACAAGTCGTGGCTCCGGGGAACCAAAAGGTGAGTTTGTTATCAGGTCTTTTTGGTTTCTCATGCAAACACGAGGGTTATGGTGTTGGTGGGGGCCTGGCCCTAATCATCGGTGGGAAGCAATGGGACAAGGAAACGTACGGGACAATTAGGGGTCACCACCTAGTACGGGTACATGAGGTAGTAAAGGTCAGTGGGAGACCATGAGGATCCCAAACAGGCGACACCATCAAGGGCTCAGCCTTCTCCAGAAAAGAAGCTAACATCAGCCCACCTGCTTTGGAGCGCTGGCCAGCTGAGGTCCTTGTGAAGACGAATGAGACACGGGCTGAAGGGACAGATACCACACCAGCCCTGTGGTCAGGTACATAAAAGAGGACAGCGCACACCCTCGTTGCACTCCGTGCTGGGTCATGGTCTATGTATCTATTTTTAACGGAATTGCCTTTCACGCTCCGCCCTTACTGCCTATCCTTTTCACAGAGGGATGTTTTTGATGATTCTATTTGCAATTTATTGCAGATTATAGAATACAAGATGGGACCGTTAGGGAATTAAAAGGAGATTGAATTTCTTTGTTATCCTGGTGTAATTACTGATATGAATTTGGATTGTTTCCCTTTGGATAAAGGGATGACTACGTTTTCCCTGGAAGAAATAATTATATTCTGTTAGGTAGAAGCAAGTTTTGGTGGTGGGCAGCCTGATCGGCAAGTTTAAGAATGGAACAAGGAGGCCCAACCTAGGCAACTTAGTCCTGTCTCAAAGTAAAAAGGAATTTAAGCGGGGGGCTGGGGATGTGGCTGAACACTCCCTGGGTTCAATCTCCAATTCTGCAAAAATGAAAAAACAGAGAAAGAAGAATGTCTATTGATGTGGACTGTAATTAATATTTGTCTTGAACATTTGCCATTCTTCTTGGCTGCCTGGGGCTGTTAAATCCTCTTCATTCGGGATCTCCGTTCTGCTCTGGTCTTCCTCTTGGTATGCAAAATATAAGGCGAGTGTTTAAATTTAAAAACTGACCGCAGTAACAGACACATTTCCAATTATCTCCCTCAAAATATTCCCCATCCTGCCCGATGCACTTGTCCCACGGTTCTTGCACTTTTTGAAGCAGTTCTGGAAGTCTTCTTTCCTGAATGTCTTTACGGGATGTGATTATAAACAAAAATAATAATAATAATCCAGGAACGCCGCTCCCAAGTGACAGCCAAAGGAAACCCAGGCTCAAAAACACTGCAGTGGGTTTCCGTCTGCCTCATTCACCAGAACTGGCCCCATGCAATTTCTGACTCTTCCTCAAAGTCAAAATGACCATAAAGGGAAAACATCTTAAACTAATTCAGGATGTGGAGACAGCCATGGCAGCAGAACTAGAGACACTCATGAGAGATACTCCACAGCTGCTTCAGAAAGTCACAAGAGCGACGGAGTAAGTGTAAGTGTGTGTGAAGTACGGGGAGATATTTTCAGAGGGCTTGATGGCAACGTGGCTTTTACTGTAATAAATTAAAAAAATTACACACTGTACTTTTCAATCAGACCCTGCAAGCCAGGAGCTCACTTCCCCGGGCTTCCTCACATCAGAAATCTAACCCAGGCTGCACCTAACAGACGCTCCCGGAAAGGTCTCTGAAGAAGCCCAACTTGCTTTTCAGTAGCAGCGTAAGACCTGCAACATCCCAAAGCTGGGCGGGCAGCAAGTAGGCAGCCCACTCCTTGGACTTGGGTGACAAAGTTCCCGGCTTTGGAGCCCCGCTCCCCCTCCCCTCCCCCTCC